AGAAAATAAATGGAAAAAAATACATTTTTTTAATTGGAAAAGGGAAAGGAATTTAGAGAAGAATTCAGCTCAGGGATAACATGTTGAGAATGTTCACAATGCCACAATTGAACTGAAAACTTCCATGCCTTTCACGTGATTCGAACACCCAATGTTTGTGTAATCCGCTGGGCGCACATACTCCAAGATCATGCACCATCAGGTCGGCGTTTTGCGAGACTCTTACTATTTTATTGTTTGAAAATAATTTGAACTATACAATTCGAAGCAATTTTCAAAATACGTTTATATTAATACTATTAAATAAATTCAATATATTTGCTGTTATAAGCTAAAAACCATATCATTAGTATAAAAATTATTTTAAGTTAAAAAAATTAATTTTGAATGTTTTCAAAAGGGTAAGGGCTCCCTCTGAATATATCTTTCAAACAATAGTGTCAGCTACCCATGTGGTCTCAAAAATGCTAGTTAGAGTTAGAAAGCAGGATCTTTGAACTTACGATGCGTCAGTCGCGGACACAACATTAGCCGACGCATTCAATACACGTGATAGTATGATAGTTCGCGAAATCTTCAGTTTGGTAGCACTATCCAGTGTAATAATTCATATCGATGAAACAGCGTGAACTTCACCTTCACAGCCTCTGAAGGTGAAATTTCAAAAGCTTTGAAGGTGATGTGATGAGAGTTTGCTATTAGAGGCTGATTTGCTACAAGCGACGGATGGATTACAGCATAATAAACAGTTGTGTAGTGCGTTTTGTCTATTGACATTTATGACAACCTCTGTCTCGTGCTTTCTAAATGTGCATTGTGTTGTATTGTATTGCAATTTGCTTACAACTTTTAAGTGTACCTTTGCTTAAAAGGATTCCTTTGCGTGAGCAACCAGTTGTCTTCTATGATGTGAGATGCGTGTGTGTGCTTGAGTTAATGAAATGGCATTTGCTTTTCAGACTTCTGTTTTTTTGTCAAGTCTCACTATAACGTGGCCTAAATTACTGAGAATAAATATATTGTACACCTATTTCAAATTTTGGTGAGGTTGAAGGTGAGCGAGAGGAGTTTCATAATTTCTCAGAAAATATAAAATCATCTTCTTGGCAGGATTCCTGTTTTTGCTGGTACCTGCATATCTACCCTCACCTTCCTATCCCTTCAATTATCTGTCAGACCTCTCGCTTCTATTGTTCTTTTGGCCTTCATTCCATGTATAATCAGGATGTGATTTCTTGGATACGTTTCATAATTAATTTTTATACAATTATAATTTTGTATAAGTTTTTATTTACATTTTATGCATAAATGTTATTCATTCTTTCCATATTATGTGCATATTTTCATGTTTTAAATCTTACATGTGTTTGGGCTTCAGTCGGATACTCTAAAAACTTTAACAGTCGCATTGCCATGCAATTCCGATACTCTGAGAGCACCAATGGAGAAGGGGGATCATAGTGAACCTCAAAGTAAATTGACATAATTGAAGGAACATTTTATATGTTAAAATACTACAATCACTTTCTTCATGTGGTTAAAATATTTTTAGTTTTTGAAAAATCCATATGGCAACGGTAAATGTATTTTGAACACTTTCTGTACTTGCTGTGCTTTCCACAAGGAGTCCATGTAATTCTGAACAACTAGTTCAGCCATTCACTACGTTTTTTTCGATTGCACAACAGTTCTACACCTTGACAGATACTAAAATAAGATTGCAATGCGTTGCTAGCTCTGGTAAAGAATTAATAAGAAGAGCAGTATTTGAAGCATTAGGCATTCGAAAAATTAGGCGAAAAAGGAATTAGGAAAAGATGGAATTATACGGTTGCAGAGGCAGTGCAAGAAAAAAGATAGCATACGTAAATTATCTACAAAGCAGAAACGATCGGACTAAACAGATCTACAATCAAAAAAGGAATAAAGCTAAATCGTTACTGAGACAAGTCCATCACGATTCTTGGGATAGATATGTGAATATGTTACAACATGATGTATTCGGAAGACGAAATATAGTATATAAAGTGTTATTAACAATGAATTTAGAAGTAACAGATCCGGCAAGATTGAATATAATATCCAGGAAAGAGTGGTTGGACTACATTGTAAAATTATGGAGTGAGATTGAAGAAAGGTATACGCCGGATGAAGAAACAGGAATAAAAAGAAATGTAGATATGTTAGATATGAAAGAGCTTGATAATGCATAAAATTCCCAAAAATAGAAAAGCCTATGGTCCTAATGAAGTTAACGTAGAATTAATTAAATATGGAAGTATGTTACTGAAATTTCGTCTGCTTCACCTAATGAATGTATGCTGGCAAAGGTGTGCAATACCAGATGAATGGTTAGGTTCGTTAATTACTCCACGTTTCAACAAAGGAGATCGAAGTAAATGTCACAATTCTAGGGGTACTTGTCTTCTTAACTCATGTTACAAACTACGTGCAAAAATTGTGAATAACGGACCTGCACTCTACCTCAGGGGGGTTAGAAAAGGCCGTTCAACAGTAGATGGCATATTTACAGTAAAACAAATCATTGAGAAACGAATGGAGTTTAATAAAGAAACAAATTTGGCCTTCGTGAATATTGAGAAAGCTATTGATAATGTCAAACGACGGGTAATATGGAGCATTACGAAAGAAGAAGGGGACCCAAGGCTTCTAGTGCAAGTAGTGAAAAATGTGTATAATAATATCAATATTGCAGTAAAATACAATGGTTTTGTTTCCAGGAAGAGGATTATAAATAAAGAAGTAAGGCGTGGAGACAGTCTTTCGCCAACACTCTTTCACATACATCTGGGATATATAATCAAAAGGTGAAAGAACGTGGTTCTCTCACGAATAACTTGAACAAAAATACATTTTTAAATACTCTTATAATCAGACAACCAGATGATCCTGCAGGAAAACAAAGATGATTTGCAAAGATTTATTTACCAACTGGAGCAAATTTTTATGGATTACAATCTGATAGTATCAGTTTATAAGACCAAAGTAATGACTTTTAAAGGAAAAGAATCAGTAAAGATAAATATTGTGTTTCAAAATATGGTTTTAGAAAACGTGACACATTTACACACTACATAGGGTGTGAAATTACATATGGAAGAGATATGGATATCACCAACAAGATCCATAAATTGCTAGCAGTATTTGGAACTATAAGTAGAACTTTTAAAGGAAAGCAAAAAAAAAAACAACATTAAACTGTTTTGATATCATGGCCCTCCCAGTTTCACAGTACGGATGTGAAACATGGGATTAAAAACATAATTTTAAGAAGATTGAATCAGCAGAAATGAGATTTCTGAGAGGAGTAAATGGCTGTACATTACGAGACCAAACAAAAGGTGAAAAAATGAAAAGTCCTAGGGTGGAAAGAAACAGTACATGACAAAATTAAGAATTACATACAAAAATGGGTGTCACATATTCAAAATATGCCGCAAGGCAGACTTAGTGCATATTCTCTAACTATAAGATGAGAGGAAAGAGAAACATTGCATGGCCAAGACCTGAAAAGAGGCTGGAACAAGCAATATGCCTAATCCGTAAAGGAATATGATGATGATGCAAGCTCTGGTACCAGAACATTGGAATTTCCACCAAGTGATTATGCGAAAAAAGAATGTTCTGCAAAACAAGTTTGCAGCCGACTTCGAGGTGAGATAATACAAAATTTGAATAATATTTCTATTAATTTTCTTCTTCCTCTCCTCTCATTTGGAGAGTGTGTTTCATTTTAAGTGAGACATTAAAATTTTAGAAAATCGAAAATTAAAAACTGCAAAGGCAATATTAAATGCACATTGGATAAGCGAATTCAACTTCTTTTCAAGACATCGATCCGCGCACGTTTCCTTGAGCCCTCGCTTCGCTAGATTCGAGAGGAGTGGGGGATTTGGTTATTTTGATGAAAGGAATTTTACGTCGAATTTGTAGTTCATTATTCCATACAAAATTGTTTTTAATACACGGGAGCGAACATTCCTTGTCATCATATTTTATCTACAACTCTCATTGCTATCAATTATTCTTAATGCAACTAATGTTGGGAAAGGAGTGGGGGTAGATATTCCGGAGCTGAAGAAAACGTGCGGATAAAACCAGTCATTTTTGTCAGCCATGCAACTGATAGCGATCATATCAACGAACATCATTTGCCTTTGACTTCAGCCATATTGAGAAGAGTAAAAATACTTCTAAAAAAATTTTGAAAATATAATTGAAAAATGTCGACGTAGTACCATTAGAAAGTTATATAAATACAAGGAAATATAAAAAAGGAGACATTGGGAACTTGATTACGGAAAAATGAGGGAAATAAATCATTTGGATAAAAACCTGGATTATTTGATGCGATAATTAAACAAATATTATAGGCTTCTTTATTGAAAATACATGGATTTATTTTTCGCCCAAAGTCACTTTGGTCTTTAGAATATTCAGAATTATAGATATATGAAAATTGCAGAATTTTGTTATGGATGATTTTTATTTAAAATATATCAAACACGTAAAAACATTGAAGACAACACATCCATATTAAAAAACATCTGTTCCAAAATATTGATGTTTAGTATAAAACATGTTTAAATTTTAAAACAACATCTTTTAAAAATGAGTTTAGAAAACGTCGAATGGCTTTCGCATCCCCACATCACCCGGTCGAGCCCCGGCCCTGAGCGGAGGCAGGCGCCGGTCGCCCACCGCGCCGCCGATCCCGGACTTGGCGCGACGAGCGACGCTGCAGGAGGACGCGCGGCGAGATGCCCGCCAGTCCCTTTTACGGCGCTCGCGTCACGCCCCGCGCCCGCCCCGCGTCACGCCCACCACCACAGAACCCGTCTCACCGTCGCCCCGCTCTCCCCCCGCCCGTCCCCGACGACTGCCAAGTTCGCCATCCTCCGGCCCCCGCCCCCGGCCCCCGTCTCCCCGCCCTGACCCTGACTCACGCCCGCCCCCCTTCGTCCCCCACGACTACTTACTTTCCCATCCCCCAGCACCCGCCCGTCCCAGGCCCTGTCCCTTGGCGTCCGACTCCGGCTCGCTCCTCCACCCCCATGCCCACAGGCCGCCCACGTCCCCCATCCTCCAGACCGCGACTCTACACCCTCACTCCTGCCCTGAACTCCAGCTCTCTTTCCCCGACCCTGTCTCGCGCCTTCGACGTGACCCTTCCCCCCTCCAATCACAATTCCCATCCTCCTACACCCGTCCAACAGCCATCCCGACACGCCCCGCTGCCACGACTGGTCCGTAGAGGAGGCAGCAATGCGCGCGTCCAACTGTACAAGAGACTCCGGGAGATCCATGCATTTATTCGGGAAGATAATCAATTGACTTATATACTTGGATTTTTCTATAGTGGCGGATGACATGAGATCATTATTTCACCTTCTGCCTTATAAAACGAATATTTTTATTTCATTCGTGAACGTCCTTCTCCACTCCCCGCTCTTTGGCCTCAGAAGTGTGTTTACCACTGTTTAAAAGATCCATTTTACAAGGTAGGAAGTGTAACTATGACCTTATGACATCAAGAACTACAGAAGAATCCAAGTATTATCAGTGGTCGATGGCAGTGCAGGCGCTACGCATGGGCTGACCGAGCCATCGCCCGGGGCCCCGCAAGTCAAGGGGCCCCATCATGGGACTGAAGGAGGAAAAATAGTAAAAAATTTAAAAAGAAATTAAAGCTCGAGAAAATCGTTGTAGTAATTTTATAAGTCGCGGTATAGCAGTCTAATATTTCATAAAATTTTCAATTCATTTTTTACTTTGAATAGTTAATTACAGTCATTATTTATACGGAGTACTCTGTAATGAAATGAATTAAAGGAACTAATATTAAAATAGATTCCATTGAAATTTATTATTATTATTATTATTATTATTATTATTATTATTATTTTATGAGCTCAAGGAGTGATTTTTTAAAACCTAACTACACAATTTCTTTAGCGTTTTAAGATAACCGTAGAAATGGTATTATTGATACTTTTATAAACTTAATATATTTTAATAACTTAATATATACTTTCTCTTAAAACTATTTAAAATATATTTCCAAAACCTTTATTTTGGTTAAAAGTTGTAATTTTTGTTATTTCCTGAAATAAAATGACTCATAATTTCTTCATATAACTTTCACATTTTCATTGGGGGTGGGGTGCACTACGTTTCAGCATTGTCCGGGCCCAAAATTGTCTAGCTCGGCTACTGGAGTTGACTGCACTTTGCTTAATACGCGCCGCGCAGCCCCGCCCAGCACACGATCTCGCATCCAACACCCGTGTCTGGGCCCACGACCCTCATTGTCGCCTGCTGAGTTAATTTCAGTTTAAATAACGTACCATCCGGACAATGAGATGAGCACATTTTACTCGAGTCTAGAGTTCAAATGTTTATGTTGTTATTCTGTCTCTTGTACCTATTTTCACTGCAGACGTTAATATGAATATTTTAGTCTATTTTGATTTAAAGTTGATCGTTTTTAGAGGTTTCTTTAGAGTCGCATTGTGACTTTTATGACATTTTTACATATACAGCAGTACATATTTTTGTCATGTTTTATCTCTCTCCTGGTGATATCGTTTGCTTTTTATTGGGCTCATAGCCGGGCATTATTTTGTAATTTCCTGAATTGCAGCATACATCGGGGATGATACTACAGATTTCAGTCGATAAGAGGCGCTAGCAATGTGTCTGCAGAGTGGAATGTTCGAAAAATTACCGAAAAAAAGTACATGTATTCTCAAACATAAAGGCGAAGTGAATTTTACGAAATAAAACCACTGACTTGGGACAGTCTTCAGCTTTTATATTCTTGCTGTATAGGTTATTGTTACGTGTAACTATTTTACTTTCCGATTGCCAATCTCTCGGTATCGATAAAATACAGAGTATTTTTCAGTTTCTGTTTTTAATGTAAAAAAGGATTAATCAATATTCAGCAAAATACTAATGACTGATGTAAATGTTACAATATTTCTCAATCTCTCTATTCAGACAAACCGCAAATAGAATATCCGTATATAAATGAATGAAATCCTGGATTAAGTGCACTGCGTTATGTATTTATCATTTATTCAAATTCAGTCAGCCATCATGCAGCTCGTGGCTTGAATTTTGCAAATTTCCATTCCCGTCTGAGATAAGGCATAATATTGCGAGGAAACTACTCCTACAGTATTTGGCCTCTAGATTGCAGAAAAAACTGCGTAATAAGCAAATGCCACCAAAGAGATTCGCTTGGAATCCTATCATTGCGTTGCCTTTTTATTTACGAATGTGTAATTTTTGTTAAAAGTTGCTTATTCAACATATTTTCATGCAATTCTGATATTGATAATTACAATACAGGTCGTAGAAATCTCATTCATCAAATATCAATATCAACAGGTCACTGTAACACATTGCCAGATGACATTCTAACCTATACAAACATTTAAGTTCAAAGTAAAATATTTTCTGCGTTATAACGTTCTTTACAATTATGGGCTACACTGACTATCAGAAAGGAAAATAATATTTATTTTTACACAATATAATGCATTAATTCACACTTGTATTGTATGATAGTAAATATACTTAATATGCTTGTAACATGTAATGTACTTCAGCTTCTGAGTGAATGACCCCTATCTCAAGATAGTCGATTTTCCCTGATCTATTGATCAAATGTCGAAGCAGATGCTTGATAGTTGTAGTAAGAATAGAGCCTGGGTCATGGGTTAATATCAAGGTACCTGGAATAAGCGTTACTATTTTGTTAGCAGTACTAAGCAAATTTATAGTCCGTTTAACCATGTAAATAATGTTTCTATAACTCGAGATGAAAAATGTCTATTTTCCAAATGTTGCTTTTTAATTGTCCTTTTTATTTGCCAAATGTTGCACGAATTTGTATTCATATTCAACTATTTACGGTTAAAAGGCGAGAAAGAGATTCTGGACTTAGGAAAACGTGCGTAGATTCCACTTCATCCCCATACGTCTCGTACAGTTTTTACAGTTACCTGACTATATAAATGAAATCAGCATCGATATTTCCGGATGTAATTTTTTGACATTTTCCTCTGTGACCGCGTTGTGCCATTACGATGTCTGGGGCGGCGTGTGAGCAAAGGATGTCGTCCAAGGTCGGTTCAAGGCCGCCTGACAGGGGGAGGGGGAGGTGCGGGAGCTCGAGGGAGTGGCAGATGGCACAGGAGCAGCTTGCGCAATGTTTGGCTGCGGAGGCGGGCAGGCGGCGCAACGGTGCTGGCGGCGGCGGCGGCGGCGGCGGCGGCGGCGGCTAGAGGAGGAGCGGGAGAGCGCGGGGCGGCGTATTGGCCCGGAGTCGCATGAATCACCGCTGCACCTCAAACAGGATCCGCGCGCAGGCGTTATATGTCAGGGGTCAATGCGACGTCAAGGGATAAGCTGCGTCAAATGTTACGGAGATATTCCAATGGATCGGCAACGGCGGGTTTCGTTTTGTTCGTCCAAGAATTGTGTAAGACAGGATGACAAAAGAAGAATAAATGAAGGAGAAAGAGAAGAAATACAAGTGAACGAGAGATAAGGAAGAAAATAACCGGGAGAACGAGAAAATGCGAGAAAGGAAGAGAAAGAAGAACGGGAAGAAAAAAGAGAATATGGGAGACAAAAGGAGGACTTGAGAGAAAAGCAGAGCGCTTGAGAAAGAAAGAGAAAATGAGATACGGTGATAACGAAGATAATAAAGTGATATATTTCTTGAGAACGAAAATTTGATCTGGAGGAATGCTAGAGACGTAAAACTAAAAGGAAGAAGATAAGAACACAATAGGAATATCAAAAATACTTTGAGTTTTAGGTTACATTCATATTTACATGATACGTTGTGTTACTTTACTTAAAAATATACACAAATTTTAAAACATATTTCAAATAAAGATGATTCTGTAAAAAACTTGAAAAAAGTGTAAGTTTGAGATTGAAAGGGAACAACTTGGGGGGAAAATGGAAGCCAAAATCGATAGTTGGCGATTCTTATTGTCATGCCATACAACACACTTTCAAAATACCTTGTTTCTTAAATGCGTCGACATTATTAAAGCAGAAATAATTTAACAGCAGCTTGAAGAACGAAACCTTATTTCTCGTTTGCCTGCGATTGCCTGAAGGTGTCTACAATGACTTACAGGAGCAAAAACAAGCTTCTCAGTCGCGTTTCTCTATCGTGCGTGACTCCATCAACAGCGCTACATTTATGTTTATTACTGCTTTATTACACCTGTTTACGTTTTTATAGAGCGTTAGGCAGCTGCCTTGAAACTGAAGACAGAATTGTGATTCTAAAGAGTTGTCTACATCTGCTTGCTGGTATCCCAGTGTACTGTGTGAAACATATAAGGAAGGTGACAATACATTTATTGTTTACACCGATTAATTTACAATTTACTCTTCTTTCAAAAATTTGTCGAAAAGGAAACTGACCTCAATCAAATATAATGATAATGCATAATACTTAACTACATCAATCAGCTATTAATACTAATACTTCTAGTATGTGATATTAAAAAAATGAAATAAAAAGTAACCATCGTTAAATATTTCAGCAAAGTAGGTCAACAGTATTAACGTGTAGATATATAAAATGTGAATCATCACTCTTCATTAAATAGTCAATAATTTAAAAAACACAAAAATCTTCATGCACTCGCGGAAATGCAAGGGTTGCACTAGAAAGTCATGGAGAATATACTAACTCGGTACAGATTGTTAATCATTTCTTCACTTCAGTAATGAATAATACATGAAAATTGTAAAGTTTTGTACGAGGTCTGACCACCTCCAACACTGATCTACTCTACTCTTCGTGTCGGCATTGTATCAAAAAGTCGTCGAATATCATTCTTAAGAACCATTCTTAAAGTTCGTGTTTGGTCAGGTCTGGAAGCTATGTGGTAGGTGGCAGAAACAACAAACTCCTTACGTTGCCATCTAAAAGAAGCTCTATAGAACTCAATTCAGATTGGTCAGCACAGTTTAGGATATGTGTGACTTTTAGAGTTTCATTGTACAGATTGAAAGTATGTGTTCTTTGATTATTAGATTCGAAT